CATGTGAATTTTCAAAATACTTTTATATTAGTCCCAGTGAAAAATGGGGTGAATCAACAGAAAAATTTATAAGAAAACTACCTCAACCTTTTAACCATGAAGTTATGGAATTACTTGATAATGCAATTGAAAAACTGCAATCATATTGATCCAAGATTCAATGTTAAAGTTGAAAGTTCAATAGGACTAGTTATTACTTTAACTAGAAATCATATTGTAGATAAATGTAAAGAAAGTATCTTAGTTAGAGATAGTAAGAAAGCTTTAATCAGTAATCCTAAATTATGTTGTGACAAATATCTCAACAAAATATCAGGTCAATATGGATGTTTACCATCCATAAAAGACAAGAAAAAATATTTTAAAACGAAAAAGAAATATATCTTTAAGAGATATAAAAAACTATATAAACAAAAATTCTTTAGAAAAAGAAAATTCTTTAAAAGAAACAAAAATATTAAAGATGGAAAGAAAGAGAAAAGACTGGATAAAAAGAAATTTTGTCCTCAAAAGAAAAAGAATTGTAGATGTTGGCTTTGCAATGAATTTGGCCATTATGCAAATGAATGTCCAGCAAGACTTAGAAATGAAGAAAGAATTAAGCTTCTTGAAACTTTTCAAAATCAAGGATTCTACCCAGTAGAAGATCCTAGTGATACAGAATCTCTGTATTACTTAACAACTGAATCAGAATTTAGTGATTCAGAAGAATTATCTGAAGATGAGTAATAAAAACATTACTAATCCTAACTCAATCTATATTCCTATAAAATTAAATTTTGAAGGATATAGAAAATTTACAATTCATGCTTTTGTAGATACTGGAGCATCAATATGTACAGCAAGTAAATGGATCTGGACTAAAGAAGATAGTATTTATGTTCAGAAGATTAAACATAAGGTTAAAAATTTACCATCATTATATCATCCAAAATCAGGAGATAAAATGATAGTTGAAACAGATGCATCTCATGAATTTTGGGGAGCAGTTTTAAAAGCATTTGATCAACAAGATCAAATTGAAAAATTATGTTCTTATGCTTCAGGAACTTTTCAAGGAGCAGAAAAGAATTATCATATTAATGAAAAAGAAATTTTAGCTATAAAAAAAGCTATTACAAAATTTAGACTTTATATTATTTCTGACAAATTTCTTGTTAGAACTGATTCAAGTACATGTAATTCATTTTTAAGAAACCAGGTTCATCCAACTTACAAGCAAGGAAGACTTGTGAGATGTCAGATGTGGTTTAGTCATTATGATTTGAATCTTCAAATGCAAGAAGTACATTTAGAAGTCCTAAATCATTACTTGTCTCATAAATATTTTCAAGATTTTTCCTTAAGTTTGCCATATTAAATTAAAAAATTAATATCAAATTTTCCTTTTGATGATTCTGTATTTTCTCAGATAATTTCCCCTGTTTTTTCAAAAATTCTGAAAGAAGATTTTGAAATTTTCTTTGTTAGATTTTGTTCTTTTATTTTTACTCCTGCAATAATAACTGCAGAATGTTTTCCATGGATTTTTCTGTATTATCTTGTAAGACTTTTAGAAGTGTTTTAACTTCTTCTACTCTATTTTTAAGATCTTGTAATTCTTTTAAAATGTCATTTATAGTCATTTTTCTCTAAAAAGATTTTCAGCCATTTCATTAATCTTTTTATTTAATTATTTCAATTGTTTACTTGTACTTGTTTCATTTTCTTCTTTCCATGTGACATTTGGAAAGGGTTGTCTTAAGGATAAACTTCTTGTTAAAAGAAGTGGTTGTTGTTCCTTAATTAATTTTCTTTGTTCTGTAAAATCTATATCACAAGATTTTCTTGTTGGTTGAATTAATCATTCGAATTTTGTTTCTTTATGTTCAAGATAATCTGAGAATAAATGATCAATCTTTATTCCTTTAGGTTCTTTAACAATTGTCATATTATGTTGGTTATGAATTGCATAAATAACTAAATATGAGATTGAAAAGGGTACATTATTTTCTTTGACTAAATTTGTCCTTCTATACTTGTGTATAAAAGAAAGTATTCCATCAAAGTTTTGG